GGTGACTGTTTTGGGGATTGAAAAGGGATCATCTGGAGAGATTCTCCTGAAGGACAAGGGGAGCACCACCATCATAGGTGTTTCTGGTGACGTTTCCAGAAGATGGAAAACTGCAGTGGTGAGAAGAGGCCAGGAAGACTGGGTCAAGGAGTGTCAAGGATGGGTCAAGGTCAGAACAGCACACATGCTCATGCTCGAAGGGGAGCAGGGCTGTCCTAGGAGAATTTCGTTGGGAAACCCTATCCCATTCCTGACCCTGCCCCTTCAGACTACTTTTTGCTCACCAAACTCAAAGAATGTTGAACAGGAACATGATTTGAGTTCCCTGAGGGTGTCCAAACTACCACTTTTTGGCGTGGTGTCAATTGAAGACTGTAGAGTTCTTACAGGAAGACTTAGCGAGATGAAAACACTGCCTTCAGAAGTGGATAGGCTTACATGGGGGACATGCTGAGAAATAATATTTCCACATTTTGATATGTTGGGTTAAGAAACATTTCTATGATTTTGTAGTGATAGTTTCTGACTTGCCCTCATACTAAAAATTCCATCAACAACAATCCCAGAGCTTCTCCACCACAAAAGTCAAAAGCTTTACACAAAAATATATAGTCACGGGTCACAAACGTCTCTCACCTGTCTGGGTTTGCTTCAGTTGGAGTTTTAAATCAGCAACCTGTGTTGTCAATCTCTTTACCGACATCCCGTAATCTAATAACTGGGCCTTCAGCTGTGCAGAATGCGCCATCTGAAAGGATTCGAGGAGGAAAAGAAAGCATCGTTAACACAAATCACAGCTCACCTCAAAAGGAAAACTTCTTAGGATGCTTGTTTTTCACTTATGAAGAAAACAACAAACCAAACCCACAAATAAAGCTCTTCACCTCCCTATTCATCCCTATAGTCCTGGTGTAGCACTGTAGGGGACCTTTAGCATATTTGGGACAGTCATTTTGAATGTTACCAGAAGGAAGTCTGCTTTAGGCCACGTGTCTGCCAAGTGAACGAACTGTCACAATGCTGAACAAGCCAAGAGCCAAGACTCACCTCACTCTCCAGACGTTTCTCCAGCATTTGTTTTTGAGTTTGAAACTCCTTGTGCTCAAGTGCTATAGCATTCTCGGCTTTCATTAATTCTTTCTGAAACACCACAAGCTCAGGAGATGGCTGAGCTATGCCTGAGAAGGGGAAGGGAGGGTCCTGGTCATTACCAATCTTGTTTTCTTCACTTAATATCGGGTTACAAAGATTTTAAATGCATCTTCCTTTTCTTTGCACTCACGCAATTCATATTAATTCTATGCAATGTGCAAAAGCAGTCTTGATTCACCAAATGGCAGAAACAAATCTGCAAGTGAACTCGACAGTCCGTCTCTCTCCTGTGCTGCGTGCAGCAGGCGGAGGAGGAACGGCCTGTCCAAAGCTGTCTCGTCTGATCCGCACACAAGTCTGTGACAGTGTGGACCCGGGCAGAGAACAGACGACACCTATGAATTCGGTCCTCTGTGGACTGTTTCCTCAAGGGTGACTTAGAGGGTAGCTACAAAGGATGACATACCAGGCTGCTCCCGCACCCCCCCGCCCCCTCCCACCACCTTGGGCAAACTCAACAACAGTCAGGGGACGTGGATGCCCATGATAAGGTCTGCAGAGGCAGATTTGTCCTTTACACAGAAGACTTCTGATGGTGAAATTGCCGATTATCCCACAGCAAACACACTGGAAGTCATTTCCAGCCAAGAATCTTAACTTTATCTAAAACCTCCCCAACTGAAGTCTCCCTCCCAGGTACTGAGGTAAATGCCAAGAAGGGTACAAATCCCCAAAACACCTACGGCTAAGGAGATGCACGTTTTCATTTCGACACTCCTCCAGTTGCTGTTTAAGCAATGTGTTTTGTGCCTGCAGCTCCAAGGTCTTTTCTTTCAGCTGCAGGTAATCACTCATTTCTTTTAGTTTTCCGCTCAGCACGTGGTTCTGTTTAGTTAATGCCAAAGACTGGGCTTTAAGAGATTCTAACTCCAGCTGAAATCAGAAAAGGGCAAATCACTTGGGGAAGACGAGCCCCGAGCCCCTAGCCCCACTGAAGTAGACCCCAGCAGGAGGCTTACACTGGGCATTAGACTTGGGATGTTGAGCTTGAATTACATAGAACTGCCCGTATGGGGAAAGTGCTTCTAATCAAGATAAGCACCCCATTTGCCAAATGCAACTAAGGGCTCAAGAACAATCACAGACTGTCATCATATTCAGTTTTTCACATTAAAACGTACGAAGGACACGCTTGCTGTGCGATGCTTGCCTTTTCCCAGCACAGCAGATATGATGGTGGGAGTGGAATCCTACAAATTCTAAAGTGCTTGCCATCACAGGGCAAAAAGCCAACAGTCTACAGAGAGTGCAGTAGCTAACGTCCCAGCGCAATGCCTCAGGTGGCGCGTGAGTGAGCACGGGAAAGAACATCTCATTTTGTGCTCACCTACGAGATGCCCATGTAGGAATGTTGACCTGATGCTGCTCTGAGGAAGAGGCTGAGCCAGATCATGACCTGCACTGACCACCACATCCCCTAACTCACTGACTTCCGGCCACTGCCACTGCCTGTGCTATGAGCGCCATTCCAGCCGTTCCAGTTAAGGAATCTGAGGTCGCAGCACCTGCCCACAGGCAGCACTTAACGTGAAAGAGACAGAGGCAGGATTCCAGCAGGACTCTTAAGTCTCCGAAATGCATGCTCTTTCTTCACGGTGTCCCTCTGTGACTTACACTCAACTAGTTCTCAGTTTCAGTCTTAGTCATATAAAGGGGCTTCAAAAAGTTCATGGAACAAAGGAAATAAAAGATAATGGAATCTTGCCATGAACTTTCTGAAGTGCCCTTGTATAATAATAGTTCAAACGCGCTCGCTCAGAGGATAACATGCAATAAATTCTACATGATTGCCAGGCAATCTGTAAATATATTTGGGGGACAAAAATATAGGCTTAATGATTACCTCAAGTTCTCTCACACGGTTTCCAGACTGACTGAGTTCTTGCTTTTTGGAATTAATAAATGCGAGCTCTTCTTGCAAATGCAGAGCTTTTTCTACAAGAAAAAAACCCCAGCCAATTACACATCATGATGCTTTTAGAGGGACTACAAATGGCCAATCTGTCAGCCCAAACAATCCATCTCTCAGGAGCCTAGCAACAGCTGTCCCAAACAACCATCGCTAGGGAGCCACCCCCAACTCACAGTAACCCTACAGGACAGTGGCAACTGCCCTCGAGGGTGTCAAAGGCTGGATTCTTCCTGGAAGCAGGTTGGCAGCTTTCACACCAAGAACAGTTGAGGTTTCAAACAGCTGACCTCTTGGTTAGCAGCCAAGAGCTTAACCACTGCGTTGTTAAGGATCAGGAGGAAATAAAGCCCGAGAGTGCTGGGGTGGTGCTGTAGGGTCAGCACTAGACTGCTAACAGCAAGGCTGGTGGTTCAAATTCACCAGCCACTCTTCAGAGTTCCTACACAGGGTCACTACGAGTCGGCACCGACTCGATGGCACACAACAACAAACTACCACCCAAGCAAGAGGTGAGTTACAACATTCATACAGTTCATGGAAAAGTTCCATTAGTTTTTAATTCCATTTTCCCATGAACTTTTTGACGCCTTAAGTGATACAGTGATTCTGCTACATATATATGTTCATCAGAGTTCCCCCACCTGCCCAGAGCACAGAACCCTAAACTAACTGACCTCCATTTCCTTCAAGACAAAGGTTTGTCTGTTACTACTTTGTAGCCAACACGTTCTCTAGCACAAAACTATTAAGATGTATCATTAAAAATCGAATGTGTTCTCACAAGACTATAAACCCCTAGTCACCCTATAAGTCTGGAGCTGAACTCACCCCTGTGGTGATCAATAGGCCAATAAAATGATCCCTGACCCCAGGGAGGTAGTATGCACCACACCCCATACAACACCCCACCCTATGGGATCCAAAGGGCAGCATTGCCCCAAGGATCCAGCTCCGACAGCAGGAAGGGATAGGAAAGGGCAACAGAGACGGGAAACCCAGAGAGGAGGTGGACTGTAATCAATGTCACGAAACAATGTACATGAAGTGCTGAATTCACCCAAATCACAATGAAAAGTTAGAAAAAAATGTTTTTTGTTGACATGATGCTATTATTTCCTAAAGAAGTGTTTCCACAGGATAAGAGTAAAAAGAACGGGAAAACAAGTTGAGTGTCTAACCAATATTAAGTAGCACCAACCCGTATGGACTCACAGGCAGGTTTGCAAAAAGCTTGTGAAAGACTATGCTGAGTTTTGAACTCTTGTAAAATAAGAACGTTAACAATGAAGTGGCTGGTGGTTATGTGCCGTGGAGTCGGTTCCGACTCATAGC